GATGAACAAAAAAAAAAAGAGAAAACGACAGGGAAAAAGAAGTGTAATCTGTGTGGAGCAGGTTGGTGATAAAGATGAGAAAATCGAGGGTTTTTGTAGCTAATGGGGTAGCTAAATTACTAAAGTTTCACAGTTGAGTCCAAAGAAATAAGCATAAAAACGGAGTTTTCAACTGGTCTTACGCTTCTAAAAATGCTGATTGAACAAAATCGCCATGTAAGAAAATCGAGATCTGAAACGCAATCCGAAGAAAAAATCCAGCTGAGGATCTTTCTAGAGCAAATCTGCAATAATGGTCGGTAAATAAATAATAGCAACAAAGAAGTAATTAAAAAAAAAAATTATCCACCGCCAACCTAAAGGTCAAAGCAGATATCTTTCTTTGTCTGCAAGTAGTCGTCTTCTTCACTGTGAGTGCGTGTGTGTGTGAGAGAGAGCTCAAACACGTACTTTTAGTGTGCCAACTAATTTTATTTGATAATCTGAGTTTGTCAATTGGGAAATGAATTTTAAAACGACTGTTAGGAGTAATGTCGGTTTCACGCGCTGACTGATGTCTGAAGCCAAAATTAATTACGGCAAGTCTTTCGTAGTTATACGGATAATGATTATACTCGTAGTATTCTAATAAATAATTAAATATATATATACTTTCATACTTCACTATTGTCTTACTTTAAAATATAATACAAATAAAATTATGATATTTTATGATCATACTTTATTATTGTCTTACTTCAAAATATAATACAAACAAAATTATGATATTTTATAGTGTATATTAGATAATACTATTTGTGAGTTGTCCCACATCGTTTATATCGAAAAAAAAAAATCTAACTTATAAGTCTAATGGACTATTATTCCTATCATTTATCATCTGGAGATGGACCATATTTGAGCTTCAAAAATGAGCTTTTCATGTTATGGTGCACGCACTCGATTTACCCATGTTCCTTACATTGTAAGTAGTCATATTTTATAACAACTTATAATTGTCTAATGATTAAGCAGTTTATAAATTAGTTATTAATTTATCTCGCTCGTTAAATGGATTTATTCACTATTTCATATTATTTAGTTTCATCGAATCATTTGCATTTCGAGGGTGTGGGTTGATCGTTAAAACGTTGTGGAGGAGGGGCAATGTACAAAAAAGTAGGAACAACTCTTTTTTTAGTTGTTTTAGTCGTTGGATCAAATATACATGTAGAACGATCGATAAAACACATGTAAAGGAAATAGACATGTAAAAGCAGTGTGCGGGGTAGGATGGGGTGATTCATCTCCCTTGGAGTGTGTGGCAAAGGAAATATACATGATCACAGGTCGAATCGGCCTCGAACCGGCTCGTGGTCAGTAGGTCTTGAATCGAGCTCGTGGTTTGACCTGGCCAATTTCGAACTACAAATATGTGCTTTTTGAACCGCCGAATCGGAATCGGAACAGGCGATTTGCCTTCTTTTTTATTTTATTATTATTATTATTATTGTAAATCAGACCGCCCCAAAATCGCCTATTCAACGAATCCTTTGCCTAGAACCGAATTTGACCATGTCTAAGCAATAGCTCATAAAATTATGGGAGGTTTTATTCTAATATTTTATTGCAGGTGTATGTTGTATTTTTATTTATCATGTTTTGGTTATTCTCGTTTGTGTTTGTGTTGTTTTCTCCATTGAAGGTTTTTCTATTAGTTTCATGCTCCCTCTGTAATGTGTGTAATTTCAAATTAGATTGCCTTTGATGGTCGTATTAGAATGTGGCCAACGTAATTTCAAATTAGATTGCTTTCATGATAGTATTGGAATGTGGCCCAACAATTTAATTCAGTGTGGGCTTCAGTATTAGATCAAATATGGTCAGAGGCCTATAAGGCCTAATTATGAACTTTCGTTCCACTTTCGGGCTTCAGCCCAGTGGCCCAACTTAATTTGAATGGATTAGACGTTAGAGGCCCACAAGACTTATTTCTACTTTATTGTGTTTTGAATTTTAAACTTGTTGGCATTCATATTTTCAAATTAAAACATCATAATAAAAATAATAACATAGATATAAGTGTGATATTCCCTAACAAAAATATACTGGTCGACCCGACAAATGGTTAGGCTCTTTAATATATGAATTTGTGTATACATACGCAACACAATATATCCTTCAACTATTTGTTGATTTCAAGAACAATAAGTGGCCCTTATTTGAAGAAGAAGAAATACTAGTGACAAATATCAATAAATGTATGTGGAAAGGGTATACCACTAATCACCTTTACGTACAAATTTTATCTTGGTTTGGGACCAAGCTACAAATATTTCATTGTAAGCCGTACATACATCATGTGATCATTAATAATCTCTACCATTAAAACCTATCCTCACTATATACGTCTTTTTGCATCACCAAAAGCCGCACCATTACCCGACCTATTTTAGCAAATAAATTAGAAAATCCATATTATGCCTTAACCTTTTTTTATGAGATTAATTGATAGAAATTAATTGTGCAAATCTTAGGGTTTGTGTAAATTATGCATGTGTTGGAACTCGTTTAATTGTCAAAATTGTAAATGAGTCTGTTTGATTTACAATTTTTGCGCTCATGAACATGTTTGACTCAATATTCATTTGAAACCAGGGGTGGAGGCACGAGTAAACATGGCTGGGCTGTAGCCCGGGTGCCTCTGCCATGCCATCCACTAGTTTAATATAAGTTTTGATATTTTTTTTTTCAATTCAGCCCGGTGAGTGACCTGCCATCCATTAGTTTAATATATCTTTTTTATATTTTGTTTTCAATTCAGCCCGTGAGTGACCAAACAATAAGGATTAATGCACACACATAATATTGTAAAGTTTTTTCAGTTTATACATAAAATTAATTAAGAGTGATATAATATCTTTGCAATTTTGACTCTTGAAATTAATGTGTACTTATTTTGTTTATTATTTATATATTTGGAGTTTTTNGTGTAATTTTACAATATATTACAATCGTTCTCTTCCACTTACTAAGATTTGGTTTATTTTTCTAACCATTCAATTACCACCATTGAATTTAGTTATTTTTTGAACTTAAAATGATGAGATGAAAATGCATCTGGATCAACATACTTGGAAAATGATACCTTGTTTGAATGTTGTCATATATTTTTTTTTTCCATTAAATAATTATATAGCCCGGGTAAATATTGAATCCTAGCTCCACTCCTATTTGAAACCTATATAAATAATAAAAAAATAAACTAGTTGTTTTAGGATGAGCTTGACATGTTTAATAAATAATATTGATTAAATTTTTAATCTCAACTCATTTAAATAAACAAACTAATCGAGGTTGAACTGTCACGAATCGAGTTCGTGAAAGTCAAATTAACTCAATTATTGGAGGTTTTTGTTTACCGTAAGACAAAAAATGATTATTTGTGTTAGTTATAAAATTCCTATCGTTTCGACAGAAAAAAAGTAAAACAAAAAATGATTGAAGAAACAGTTATTAATAAATTCTACAATTAACGATGGAAACTCATTAATTCTACAATTGGATTTGGATTTAACATATTCTTTTAGCAACAAAAGCACTATTTTAGGGATCAACGGTCAAAAAAATGCTTCTCATTTTTTGACCCAAATCCACGACTTTACTCACCACTACTCATATAATTAAAAAAAACAAAAATCTACTTAACCGACACGTGTCCCTCCCAAAACTTCGGGCAACCGCAAATCAACCCCTCAACAGCAAGGCTCAAACATCCCTTAATTCGCCAGAACCTCCCAAATCAGCTCCGGGTCGAACGACGGCAGCCGCGCCAGCGGCCATCCCTCAATTTCCGACCCCCCGACCTCCTCCGCCGCCGATCCCCACCCGTACGACCTCGATTCCGGCGATTCCTCGCCGCCCCAGAAAAGCCCATCTTCCGAAACGCCACCGCTCCAGCTCTCCGCGTTCGCCGCCGCCGCAGGCGACGGCATAGCTCCCTTCCCCTCGCTTTCGCCGGAAGTTATAACATCGCCGCCGCATTTCGATTTCTTCGCCGCGGTTCTCCGGGCCCTCTTCTCCCGCCTCACCTTCTGCCACACTGCCTGGATCTTGGCGTCCACGGTCCGCCTCAGCGAGTCCACCAGGTCAGGCCCCCCAATCCCCAGCCGGGCCGGGTCGCGCAGGTTCGGGAAGTTGAGCCGCGCGTACTCCCCACGTAGCTTGTACGCTGCACGGTCGTAGGCGTACGCGGCGGCCTCCGGCGTGCCGTAGGTGCCCAGCCACACGCGGACTCTGTTCTGCGGCAGCCTTATCTCCGCCACCCATTTGCCCCACTGCCGTTGCCTAACCCCTCTGTACATCTTGGTCTTGGCCGAGCCTGGATACTTGAGGCCCGTGCCCGAATCAAGATCCGAAATTGGTACTTTAACCCTTGTGATTGGTAATGGGTTTGCTTGATTGAGCTGATTGAACAGCTCCTTTTGCCTCAGGTACACTGATGAGCCCAGCGGCTCGAGAACCGGGCCTGATGGCATACTGTTCGGTTCATGGCAGTGGGAGAAAATCGAGTCCAAGGTGTTTGATGAATTGCTTGTGAGAATGAGTTGTGATAAAGATAGAGCAATTTGAGAGGAAGTGTTTGGATTAGCAAAAGGAATGAAATTTTCTTGGATTGTTGTCATTTTTTTGGTTTGGGTTTTGAAAAAACAGAGGAAGATGGGCTCTGAAAAAAATTGCCCCCTTTACCTTAATCAATAAAATTTGCAAGAATAGCTGAGGATTATACTATCAGAATGTGAAAAATTAACAATGGGCTTGAAAAAAAAAAGAAGGGTCTATTGAAATGAGAGCTCAAAGTGAAGAAAGATAGCTGCTTTTTTGGAGTAAAAGAAAGAGGTTTTAGTGAGTTTGATTAGTTTTTGAGGAGTGGAAAAAACTTAACTAGGAGCTGTGTTTGTAGCTGTTTGAGTAGAAAGATATTTTTTTTGTGAGGTTTGAGGACTTTGAATATGTCAGTGGTTGTATTTATAGAAGCAGACTGAAGAGTGAAGAAAGTCTTTTTCTTTTCCAGGCATTTATGACTCAGCTCTTTACCTTAATCTTTGTGTAATTGGGCGCCAAATGTATGATTAGTTTAATGATGTAAAAACTTTGAAAGGAGTAGATATTTATGCAATCAAGAGTACTTTGATTTGCCTCATGGGATTTTAGTCATTAGATTAATCTATACCTGTATAAGGGTGTGTATGAATATGTGTAATTTGATGGTTAAAAACCTTATGGGAACATTACTTGCTCACTAAATCATTAATATTTATGTCTAGCATAAAACTTGGCCTAACAAAGAGCTAAACCTTTATTTTGAATGATGATAGCTCAACAAAGTTTCTTCCCTGGAATAAATTAGAGTTCTCACTGTAAATTGAGAAGAGTCGATGAAATAATTAGGTAAGTTCAATTCAATTCCCTACAACAACAATAGTTCAATCTTTGGGCTAATCACTTACTTTGGACTAGTAAGTGTGTTTCTTTTTCAAAGTATTTCTATATTAGTTGCAAGTGAAATAGCCAATAAATATCTAAAAAACGTATCTCTCAACTTGAAATCGTCAATTGCTTGTTCGCAAATCACGGCCACATACATATAAAATTGAAAAGATCGGAGGATTTCACATCTGTTGACTTGTTCCCCCGTGTGGTCCCACGTGCCATCTGAGAAAATTTTTATTGACAAAAAGCTACTTTATGTTTTTATTATTGTATTAGCTGTAGGAGTTGGATCATACAGCCTTTTTTCTTGCATTTACTCGTCTCAATTTAAGCTTAAAAGCTGCCACATAAAGAGATGTAGCATTAAATTGGCCATTGCCACGCGTTTTTTCTGTTCTGGTTGAGATTTTGCTGGTTCCAGTTTTCATCTGTTATTGGCAGGTGATATTTGCTTAAACCATTTCCCTTACCAAAAAAAAATTCACATTAGGGATGATAGAAATTAAAAAGTATGAAATATGAATATGATACGATTATAAAAATAGATTACAACAGGATGGGAAAGACATGATTCAAAACACGTGGAAAACTTAGAATTAATTAAAAGTTTAGTTAAATTTAAAATTAATTTAGTGTGATACTGATGAATATGAAATTGTCAAGATGATAGTTACTAAGACTTAATGGTACGAGACTTTTCTACAAATATACATGCTTTTAAAATAAAATTATAAATTTTTTAAAACTATAATATTTTAATTCAGACAATTGTATGATATTTCTTAGTGTAAATCTCCATCTAAAGTTGGCATATAGTTATATGCTTGAAAATTGTGCATGTGATGTGTTTATGAAGCACTCATTCACCTGTCATTTTTGGAGAATAATAGCGTCCATCGAAATATGAAGAGATCAAACNTGTTTTTCATAACTTTTTGTCTTTTCTGGCCAGATTTAAACGAACTCTATGCGTCTGGCCAATTATGTAATAGCTTTATTTACTATTATTCTAATTGCTATTAAATCCCTTAATTCCTTTAGGCTGTGTTTGGACTGATGATTTATTAAGGGATTTGAAATCTAAATTTTTAATATATAAGTTTAACTCCACATACATGTTCTGATGATACTAGAAGTTGGATGATTTGAAATTCACACTAGATAGATTTTAGTCATTGTTATTTAAAAATAAAATAAAATCAAATGACTCCTCAAACTTAGTCATTCAAAATCAAGAAATTTAAAATCCTTCAATTCAATTCAAGTGTAGCCTTAATTAATTTCCTCCATATCATTTTCTGGGACAACTTTAATAGCTGATTTAGCTAGACAACACTTTGAGGACATAAATTAAATTTCAATGATAATTAATCAATCTTCTAGAACATGTGTCATTTCATTTGTGAAATGCTACAACGAAAAAAAGTTTTGGCAAATGAATTTAGATGCTGATAATTATTACCAAAAGTGGCGGTTAATTAACAATTTCCATCAAGTAACAAACTTATCTAATAGAGGCAAAAAAATCTGTCATGCTTTGTACATTGAAATCTATCCCTAGAAAATTACAAATTGTCATCAATAATGTTTTAAGTGGTCCACCCACATGATCTAACATGACACTTGTCAGCAAAACACAGCCACATATATGAACAAGAAGAATTCACGAAAAGAAAAATCAAAATGAGCAATCCCTTTTTTTTCTGGGACCAATAATGCATTAAAGTTGTAAAGTTGGAAAGTTTTTATGAAGTTCTGAAGACAGAAAAAACAAGTGATGATGAACCACACGACTTTTTTTTTTTTTTCCTTTAANNNTAAATAAATAAAGAAAAAAAAAACTAAAAAAAGAGAGCTTTAAATTGTCATGCTTATCTACATGTGACAACATAACCATATTTGTCATGATCAGTCGCCATAGCTTCAAAAGTCAAACCCAAAGGGCCAAATCCAAATCCTTCTTTCCCAACTTTTTCTAATCTGTTCATGGCCTCTTTTAAATGTATATTGTATATATGTTTGCAAACATTTTTAAAAGGCATGATAAGGAGAATTTATCTGTCCTCTCTTATGATAATTCGTGGTCTAGAAAAAACGGGTAGATTATTAGGCCTCATGAATTTTCGAATTAATCTAAGTGTGGCTAGATAGTAGATTTTAATAATTTACTTTTAGTAAGAACGATTTAGTAAATTTATAGTTTTATTAATACTATTTCATATCTTGCGAACACGAACATATACTCATCTGTGAGTCTTGTAAGATACGGCACACTTAAAATGATTTGTCTTCTCCTTATGCGCAATACTGTTTACATAAACAAGAAAGTTAATAAAATGTTAACATAAAAAATTGTATTCCCAATTTTTGGATAATTTGTTTATTTATTATCTATCATTTTGATCTTTCTCAACATCTCCATATGGCCTTAAGTTTTTTGCAATTTTGGTCTCCATGAAATACTTTACATAATTACATTCACCACTTTGATGTCAAGCTCCACAAAATAAGGAACTTAAATTGTAGAAAAAATAAAAATTGATGTGATTAAATGCACAATTCCAGACGAGGTGGCTGTGTAAATGAAATTGGAGGTGAACAAAGAAACTTTGCTGAAAAAATAAAGGGAGGTGAAATTTGAAAAAAAAAATATTATGAGGGGTGAAAAGAAAAATGAATGAAAAAAGTTGAAATTTGACCTTCAAAAAGGCAAATTTTGTCGTTTAGTGAGACAATGACATATCCACTGGCACGGTGGCAGCACTGCCCAGCTGTACACCGACGTGTCGATTGGTCAATTACGTAAAGCATTTGGACATCTCAATTTTTTTTTTCTTTTTTGGAATTTTTAGAAAAAAGGTATCTGCTGTTCTCATTGGTCATTACCAACAAATTTCTCGTGATCTATGAAAAATAAAATCTATTAATTCGGAGTTTAATAGACTTAAAATTATCAATTTAAGGAATCAAAACCAAACAATCTGATGTAAGGAAGCGTACGAATAAGAAGGATAAACGAGATACTCTCTCATAAAATACACAAAATTTACAATCTCTTATTTCATTTCAAAATCAACTGACCATAACAAAGCCTAAGATTCCTTTAAGTAAAGCCATCACATTATATCCTAGCTTATTCCTTAAGCTACTAATTATTAAATAATATTAATTACTATAATAATAATAATTAGTCTGCACCACAATCGAACATGATAATCAGTACGGACCAAAATTTTGACAAAACCCCGGTAACTAATATAAAAATAACTTAAATATAAATAGTTTTGAATATTCAAACTTCTTACATGTCACTAACAATTTTAAATCAATCTTTACAGGTAAAGTGGATATCGTTGTTAAAAAATGCAAATGAAAAAGTCTAAAGAAGCATTTAAAAAATGAAAGTCTTCTATATAAAATGATAAATAGTATAATTAAAACACAAAATATACATGCAACAATTTTAATAAATGAACCATCACGATAAAGTGGATTAATTTTAACATAGTACATATTTATTTCTTGTAACTTTTAATAAGAAAATATTATTATTAAAATTAGAAAAATAATTATTAATTTGAAGATAAATATATGTATATCACGATGATAAGTAAAGAATATTAGAAGACGAATAAAAGTTAAAAAGTGACTGAAAAACATCACTCAATTTCTGCTTCGTTCTCATTTTATTTCTATTTATACGTCATGATGAACGCTTAGTCAGATAGAAATTTATGTTTATAAATTTACTTTTTATTTGTATTCAAATGTTTTTTATTTATACACCTTTATATTTTAATAGTTTCGGATATCACAGGTCCCTAGTTGATAGATCCAATATTTCAGGTTTTTAGAATTGACATTTGTCCATCTCCCGATCCCAAAATGATGAATACATCGTTCAAGTCCCAAATTAAAAATTGATCCATCTTTTGAACTCACACGGATAAAACTCTAATAAAATAGGTTACCCTTAATTTAGTATCACCAAACGGAAATATGAGGAAAAAAACTCAGAAATAAGAATGTACAAGTATGAAACATTGCTCCTATTTAATTATCTTGTCAAATGCGTCTCTTATGTGATTTCTACTAAATAGATAGGATAATGTTACTTTAACATAAAAGTTGACATAATTGATGTGTATGAATAAAAATTGTTGATTTAAAAATTGATTTAATATGTAAATCAATCGATTTTGTTATTGTGTATTATATTAAATTCTATATCATCTATTATATTTATGGAGATGATCCGGTAAATAACACACATAATTAGATTCATGCAACAAAACACATCACCTCAAATTATTAAAGATAGACGTTGGTTAACTTCTTTTTTGACAACATCTAGAAATTTGGGTCAAGTTACATTCTTGTCAATGTCATTAATTTTCCGATAAAAAAAAAGACTGAAAAACAAAAAGAGAAGAATAAAAAAGAAAGAATTAGAAGAAGAAAAAAGAGTCAATTTTGAAGTCACTGTTTTTAGTTCTTTACAGCTATTTATCTGCCTTAATATACCCATTTCGAATTTTCTTTAGAATAATCAACTCTATTAAGCTAATACAGTTTTTGTACACCTGTGTCATTATCTATCATCCCCATCAATAAACCCTAAATTTAGGGTAATTTGACTTTGAACATGACACCAATAGTGGATCAACTTCCTCATTTATAATATTTTACTTTTTTCCAGCTAATTATTAATGTTTTTGAGCAATAATGATGATAACATTATTAGATAAGCCCCATTGATTATTTTGCTTGGATTTGAATTTCCCAGTGCAAATTAATGATCATTGATCAAATTTAGTTAGTTGAACATTTGAATAATGTGAGTGTTATGTACACCCCTATATACAATATTATGTATCTAAGTCATTATATCCATGTTATGTACACCCCTATATATAATATTATGTACCTAAGTCATTATACCCAAGCTAATAATTAAAACCTTTTGTCTAGGTTTTATTTTCTTGTATTAATTTAATACATTACATCAGTTCTTTTTATTAAATGCAATTTTGTCTATTTATATTAATTATAGTTGGTGATTATAAAAAAAAATAGTTATTATTAATTACCTCANCATTTTGTTTGTACACCTACATTACCACTATTTGGAGTTTGAATTTGACCATAAAATAATTTAATGATATTGTGCCCTTGCATCTAATTTATTCAGACTAGATGGAAATTTCTTTATTTTTTTGTCCTACTTTATTATTTTTTTTTAAAAAAAATATTGTTAATAATTCATGCAGGCAATTAGGCAAATTATTAATGGGAGTTTCACTGAAAACTGAAACTACTTTGACCCACGAGTCCTCCAAATTCTTAAACAAATTAAGTCAATGTTTGCAAAAGTTGGCACATCATCATCAAGCTATATTCTAACCTCGGTTATGCATTATGAATCATACTAATCTCTTCCATTGGTTTCTCTACAACTATATAACTCGTTGAAGTAAAGTCAATTACCTCACGTTCAAATTTATGCTCGTTTAATAAATGAGTAGGTGCAACTCAATTTGTTTAATAAATAAATCTAAAACCAAGCTTGAGCTTCACTCGTATATACTTGATTTGGTTCTGGGTCATTTAAGCCCAGGCCGAGTTGTTTCATACACAATCGACTCGTTAAATAAATGAATTTGGTTAAGTGTCTGAACTCTACAAGTTCAACAAAACGAACAAGTCGAACTCGATCTTTCACTAACCAAATTGAATAGTGTTGGCAAATAACTCTTATATAGACAAAATGGAAGTTCCGTTTTCAACACTTAATTCGAATTCTTTTAGTGTCGTAACTAGGAAGTTGTGCAGCTATAGAAGATCAAGTTCCAGAATATTTTAAGATCTCAATATAAAGGTTGAAGTTATGAGTGATAGTGAAATGGAAATAAAATTCAACCAGCAAAAAACTAGAATCCACTATTAAAGTCTAAAAATCAAGGTAAAAGTTCATCATAACAAACAAAATCCCGCGCACATATCTTCACTGGGTTTCTAGTTATTGACTGATAAATAGAAAGTACCTGAACTGAGACTAACCGCAGTGTGATAAAACAGTATTGGTAGTAGTGTGCTCTTATTTTGCCTCCTTGTACATACTGTTGATGACTTCCTGCAAGATGGAGTAAAAGACTTTAGTGAGATTGTCACGTCAGACAAAATCCTAGCAGCATAATTCTGAACAATAAAATCTCCTATTTGTTAAGCATAATTTATATAAGATGAGCTATAAATAACTATGGAGATACCTTTTTCTATCTTTCCGGATTTGCTATTTTCCGGAAAAATTAGTGTAGAAAACATGATTTCCGGGGCTTTTGTCGTTGCTAAGTTTGAGGAATAAAGACATCTCCATTCTCATGAACTCGTTAGAAAGACAAAGAAATTCACCTGGTAGTATTTGAGCAACTGAGGTCTTTTCTTCTTATAAGTTGGGGTGGTAAGGTCTCGTTCCATGTCAAACGGGACTGGATCAAGGTGTACAGCTTTAATAAATTCAAAACCTTTCAACTGCCAAAACAAAAAATTAGGTAGGGAGGGTTATTCAAATTTTGAAGCATTTCCCAGCCAATTATTTAAATGGATTATTTGCAACCAAAAGATGAAAGAAAAAGAACCACCTTCTTTTCTTTTGCAATCCTTGTGAGCTCCCCAATAAAATATTTCTTCAATTTGGCATTTTCACAGAGGGCATTGAAGTCCCCAGACACACCATTTTGTTCTGCCCATTGCTCCACTGCTTGTTTGTTTGGATTAATAATAGCAACAAGAAAGGCCTCAAAACTGTTCCCATATACCCATATCTGCAATTGAAAAAATGCAATGTGATTAACATAGACTATAGATGTAAAATCACAAGAATCGTTCTCTGTTGATGCTCGTACTGAGAAAATTCAAACTGAATTAGCCTCTGAAAAAAATGGAAATATTTTTCTGTATATGCTGTTAGAATCATAATGCCATAAGTTCACAAAAAAAATAAATAAATAAATAAAAATAAAAATAATCAATTCAAGTTTAGCATGCTCATTCATACCGAGTCAATATCAGGGACCAGACCATAGACATTCTCTAAATTTTCCACTGCAACATATTCTCCTTGTGAGAGTTTAAATATATTCTTTTTGCGATCGACAATCTTCAAGCTCCCATCAGGCTGCCATTCACCAATATCCCCTAACCAACAGAGTTACACGAATCGTGACACAAAAAGTAAAAGACAAAAGATTCAATCGATTTCAATATGATTATTAAAAGAGTAACCTGTGTGAAACCAGCCATCAACTAAGACTTCCTTAGTTAGGTCTTCCCGTTTATAATAGCCTGAAAACAAAGTGTCCCCCCTTACACATACTTCTCCGCGAGGCCTTGACGAAAGGGCATCGTACCCCATTTCAGGAACTGACTCCAGGCAAACGTCTACATTGGCCACTGGGGGACCCACAGTTCCCAGCATTTTCATCTCATCTGGTACGGAAACAAATGTTCCAGCACAAGTCTCTGTCAAACCTACATCAGTTGAAAAGGGAAANGGTACCTCCAGCACATAAAAAGTGCAGAACTAGAATATCACAGAAGGTCGAGGCTCGGAATGCTTTGAAGGAAAATCTATTCCCAGTGTTAATCAACAGATTTTTAAAATAAATATTGATAATCTAAAGTTCAACTCATGAATGGATAAATTGACATCAAGTTGGGGCACCACAAAAGGTGCATACGAACTATAATGCAGAGGAATAGTGATCAAGTCAGTATCAAAACCCACATTTTAGATAGATAATGAAACATGAAAACAATATTAAAAGCCATCTCATATACAGATAAAAGACTGCTAGCAATGAAGAAAGCGAAAAAAAATGAGATATAACTGTCGTAGCAAGAAGAAAAAATACCATATCCTTGAAGAACGTAAGAACATGAAACTACTCGCAGATACTCTTCGACATGGGAGGCAAGAGGCGCAGCTCCAGATAGAATAAGTCTCACACGGCCACCTAGACCTTGTTTTATCTAACAGAGCCATTAAAGAACATTAACGGATAGGTAGTGTCATTAGCACTATGAATAAACAAAAGATACAAAGCTCTATTAAGACACTGCCAATCACCTTACTGAAAACAATTTTATCAAAAATTGGAGATGCCTCATTGTGTTTAGCACCATTCCTCATATTACGCAGTTTCCTGCTCAGTTATTTGCATAGCAAACATATAGAAATAATAATTAACAACAATTTCCAAACTTTCAGGTCATGTTCCTAAACAATGTAAAGATGGCAGGTATAAAGCAACTTAAGCAAAGAAGAATATGGTCAATCAAGGCTTTGAAGGATAGGTTGATGAGAAAATCGTCAACGTTGATGTCAAGAACAACACATTTTGCTAAGATTTCTAGTAAGCAACTGACTGGAATGCTGTTCACATATATGAAATCTAAATTCAGATAATAGTCGTTATCTGTTTCCCAAAAGAAACAGAAGCTGGAACGGGGCATACAGAGAGTAAGCAAAGTTGAACACAGTCTGTTTGATGAAACCCCCTCCAGAGATCTTCTGTTTTAAACCTGAAAACAGAAACACTGATCACTGAGCAAGAAAAATCTGAAATAAGGCCACAAACAAGTACTGAAGGACGCAGATAGGTATTTCACTAGGCAAAGCAAGCATTTTCTGTTATACTTCCAAATGGTGCATTCCAGATGTTCAAATGTAAATTATTTCTAGATGAAAGCTTTGGAAGTGGATCTCATATATCAACACGGGATGCTTTATCAGATAAACATATAATTATTGCTAACATTTATCCAAGTCCACACATCCCTCTCCAAGATTGTGGAAGATTAGATACTGATATTAATGTTATTATATAGGCATAATGGCTGAACAAAACAAACCTGAATATATTCTATCTAATACACGAGGAACTGCAGTGAAGATAGTGGGTCGAAGCTCCCCAATATCTTCAACCAATAACTTAACATCCTGCAAACAAAGAAAATAATACAACGTAATAACCAATCTATTTCAAATATTGAAGTTTAATTGGAAACCTTCTTACCCCACGCCAAAATCCAATTGCAGCTCCATGGTTGATGAAACATTCTTCAATGACACGATCAAATATATGCGCCAAAGGGAGATATGACAGATACACATCATTGACAGTCAACTGNAAAAATTACAGTTGAAGCTTTTACATTATTTGATACCTCCCGCACTTGGGCACTAAAAATTAAAGATATTAATATTGATCTCCCACATTGATTATACAGGAAATTTATATAAATGCGTAATCACCGATTCATTGACACTCTCTAGCAGACATTTTACTCCAGCAATTATGGTAACAATGCTGTTGTTGGAAATCATGACACCCTTGGGATCTCCTGTAGTTCCACTAGTGTACATGATGGTACATATATCAGTTCTTTTTTTCACTGGAAGATCAAAGTTTTTGTTTCCTCCCTGCTCAATGAAGACGTAAAAAGTTCAGATCGACATAATACATTAGCAGAAGTGTATAACATCAAGTACATGAAAACTCCATGGGAAGCAAAAAGACACAAGTGCAATAGCGGAGCCAGAAAAAATGAGAGGAGCCAGGCCCTAGACCAACAAGAGGAAGTGAAAGACAACTGAAAGGGTGAAAAGGATGAAAAGGAAAGAAGAAAATAACAATTAATATATTAATTGTAATGTTTACCAATGAAAAGAAATCCTCCCAACAGTAAATTGCTACACCAAACTTTTCTACTTCTTCCTTCTGCTCAGTAGTAACATTTCCAAAGCTTACGATGGCTGAAATGGATAATCGAACTCGTTATTCCATTCACATCAACATATCACAGCAAACAAAAACAGATCCCAGAAGATACTTACTTTTCAAGAACTTGGCTGCACCAGATAAAGTTTTTGCCAGCTGCAAATTATTTGAATAAAAAATAGTAAATAAATAAATGAGATCTTTACAGACCCAAATAACACCAATATCAACTCATGCATTTCCACATTTTTCAGATGCAATGAGTCTAAGACAAATATATGCAATTATGAGTCCTATCGTAAGATGATATATAGACTCATAGCAGTTTTAGCTTTTAAAAAGAAAAGAAGAAGCAACTGCAGTTTCCACATTGCTACAAAGCAGTTTCAAGCGACATATTTCCTTACTATTTATCAATTGTACCTCAGAGATTTTTTTCTCTTCCACAAAAGCAAGTGTAATTTCCGCGTGGCACATGATGTATTCAATTGCTCCAGCACCTTAAGCAGACAAAACAAAGGTCATAACTCATAGCATATCAATGCCTAGTTTCATTTGTATTCAATTTGTGGAATTATCCTGTGAGCTTGAGAACAATGTCAATGAAAGAGGCACACTGTAGTGCACATGTAAAAATGGAAAGGAAGATAATACATACCCAAAGTGTCATATAAAGGAACACAATAGAGTCCATGAGCATTACAAGCCTGAATAATAAGATGCAGTCAGAAATTTCTTTGTTGTAAAAGTTTATGGACAGTAATAGAATCAAGAATAAAGTCGAAAAGGTTAGAATGGGTAAAACCAAAATGGAAGAAATGGCCGGAAGCTACAATTGATTCCTTTCGTGAATAAAATTCTAGTATGAAACGAGTTTGTTGTGGGGAGAATCTCCAAAAATTTAAAAGAAAAGAAAACAAGGAGACAGGTTTAATATGAAAAAAATAAAGAGAAAAATACTATTACTGAGACCGTAAGGTTAACATGAATTCTAATGAAAATCCATTGTGATTCATGTTAGAAAGTGTATTAATCACTGACAAGACATCAAATTATACTTATAATCATAAGAAACTCACCCAAAGGGAGGGAAAAATTAGAAGGAAAAAACAAAACAAAACAAAACAGTTCACGACTTGATTGACCATGAGGGCAATTAAAATTTAAGCATCAAAACTATTTCAGAAACAAGATCATTGGCAATACCGTGTAACATGTCACCTATAACTTTTTAACTCTTTATGTATATATCTTTTATTGTCTGTGAGTAAATACAAAGAGCAAAGTCTCCGCAGCTATGCACGGACACACTGCAAGAATGAATGATGTGACGGAGGGAGGAGCAAGAGGAATTTAAGTTATTGAAGTACCTCCATACTTATAACCCACTCAGGAGAATTAGCACCATAAATTCCACACCGTCCTCCCTGAGATCACAACCAGATTAACAAAGTGTAAAGAACCATAATGTGTCATAAGTAACACAAAATCTGATGTAACTTTATAGCACAATCAACAAACATGGCAGCCATATAATTTCTTGAGTAATAGCAGGTATAAAAATTAGACCATGTTTATTTCAGAGATAAGAAGCTGCAACTTAGTGGTTCCAGCCTAAGAGCATGAAGTCGAGCTATCTGCCCTCAAGTCAAAACAGGTGAGACCATTTTTAAGGAGGTACAAGAAAAACTAGCCCATAGCATACAAGAACATGAAAGATTCAGGTGATTTCTGCATTTAGGCAAACTGTCTCTAGGAGAATAAAAATGGAAACTAGAATATAGTTTCTATACTGATTATGCTTGAACTTACTTCCTCAACTCCACAGCTGCGAATGGAATTACCAATTTTCATCACAATGTCATAAACTTCTTGGTAAGTCATCCATATGTATTTACCTGGCTGGTGGGGCAGTGATCATTAAGATCAGAGAAAAGGATCACACAAAGTAGAGGAGATCTTGGATATTTGAATTGCGAATACTTGCAAGAAAACACAATACCTTCCCATTAACAATTTCACGACGGCCGAGCATTTTATTATCGGGATATTTCTCTACTGACAAGCTGTGACACAATGGAAACGATTTTAGTCCAGAGTACTCATCAAGAAAATATAGATGAAAAGAACAAAAGTGTCATATTCTAGCGGAACATTTTATAATGAAGATCCATCAGCAATGCCTAAAAGCTATACTCCATGTCGAACGCAGACATATGGATTGCTCAAAAACCAGATGCTTCCATTTGTTGACTGGATTCTGAAAATATTTTCATGTTCCATTATTTTATTAACTTAATCTCCTTATTCTTCATATAGCCCATTCAGGTATCGGAGGGTGTCCCGTCCGAAGGCTGAAAATGAAACACAGTAGGTTCCGAATGCTGAGGTATCCATATTTTGACACATTTCACATCCATGAGGACACATAGTGTAACTACAGGAAAATTGTCGACAGGTAAATACGGAGTTTCTTCATCACCATTTTCTTCCCAAATGTAACATTGGTGACAGGCTTCAGATTTAATTACAATAACAATAACTGCTTCCATTACCACAACAAATAGGGAAGAAAACAACAAAAACGAGTTCCATGAAATGAACTTAAGATCGAACAATCCACTGAATAACAGTGCTTATCCATAAGCAACAAATCACAGAGATTTAACCCAACGCGCACATCAAATTCGCGACATGATAAACCTAAATCTCCATGCAAAACATCAAACACCTAATCACCCAATCAACCAACCAAGCCGTCAGCATAAACAATCTCCAGGCTACTTCCGATAGAAACAAAAAATAAAAAACACAAAACGAAGAAAAGGTAAAACATCAAACCGGAAAATATCCCAACAGCTGTCGAGTCCGGGGACCGGCGGCGGAAATCCATCCTTCGCGCAAACGTTGCGATATACCGGTCCGATCGACGGGTTCCCGTCCTTGGCAGGCTTCGAAGGCTCCACCTCCACTATAAACCTCTTCCCCGCCATTAATAGAAAAAATGGAGGAAAATACGCGAGCTATTAGTCCCTCCGGCGGTTGAACGGCGGCGGCGATAAGTGCCTAACTAGTGAATGAGTATGCAAATAGAGTCTGAATGAGAGGCAAATATGCAGAACTAAAATGCGTGTAAATTTGTACGTGGGCTGGCTAAAATACCAGCGGAAAAAGTCAAATTTGATTAATGCCCTTTTGCAGGTAATTGATAGAATGGATATTAAGCATGGGATCGTGAGATTTATGGCACCATATGATACTCATATGAGCACCATAGAATTTCTGCTAATTTTACACACCTGTAATGTTTAAATCATGTTAATAAGAATTTAATTTAATATTTACTTATAGAATTTCTGCTAATTTTACACACCTGTAATGTTTAAATCATATTAATAAGAATTTAATTTAATATTTACTTGAAGTAGTAGTTGTAGTACATATTAAAAAATAATAAAAATGATTAAAAATCTAAAATTTAATTTAAATTTGTAACTTCAAGTGTAAACACTCACTCATAAAGGCATATNTTTAAATTTAATCATTTTATTTTAAATATTAAAATAACTCAATTTGTTCAATAAAAACATGTTAAAATTGAACAAATATGTGTCCAAACACCCTTAAGCTGAGTAAAGGTGGGAAAATCCAAAAGTTTTGTACACTAAATTAACCGAACGTAGCACCGTAATATATTGTTGGTTTTAGTTTTTATTTTTATGTTGGTTTCTATGTATAATTATATTTAGTTAGTATGATTTGGTGCAAAATCGCGACAAATAGAGCAAAATTGAATTTATGAAACCGAAAGATAATAATAGTCTTTTTTTTCTCAAATTATGAAAAGTAATAGTCGACCAATGTATAAAAACCTAATCGGATTTTTTTTTCACTTAAAAAAGATAAAACCAAAAATTATATGTTTGAGGCCTTTGGTCTCGACATTTTTTTGTTTCAGCTCGATGTTGCACAAAAAATAAATTTATCCACGTTTGAGCGAAAAAGTTGCGTAACCGCATTTTTAATTGGAAAAAGCTATTTGTACAATATTTTTGTACAGCATTCAATGACAACATGATATGACATTAGGGGTGCACAAAGTTCGGTTAATCGAGCCGAACCGACCGAAACTGAAAATTCAGTTTGGGCCGAAACTGAAACCGAATATTTGGTTCGGTTTTCGGTTTACATTTTTTTAAAATTTCGATTTTCGGTTTAGTTTGGATAATGTGATCGGTTAACCGAACCGAACCGAAAATCGATTTTCACACATATATATACATGTTTTTTATTTATACATATGAGTTATAAAAGCATTAACTTACTTCAATGATTGATGATTTTCAAGTTTCAATGACCCCTAAAATGGCTCAAACATTAATTTGCACTCAAGATTGGCTTCGTCATAGTCTAAGTTACGGTTCGGGTCCGAGATCTTCCTTTGATGAGAATTTAAAATTTATTGAGAAGATTAAACAAGGTGATAAAAAAATCATTTTTTTTGGTAAAACATCAAAGTTTTTTGTTCGGTTAAAAATTTGGAATTTATTGAGAAGATTAATATTTATTGCGATTAACCAAAAACCGAATCGAACCGAACGTTGGATTTTCGGTTGAAAACCGAACCGAACCATAAATTTCGATTCGGTTTTCGGTTATGGTAATGGACAAACCGAATTTCGGTTAATTGAAAATTCTATCGGTTCGATTTGGTTTTAACCGAATGAGCAGCCCTATGTGGCAATGTGGGTGGTTGAGATGCAAATAAATGTATGGTTAAGATTTGAGGTAATGATACTTTTAACTAAATTGTCAAGCAATGTTGTAAACTACAATTGTACATGTAGCATTGCCCTTAAATTTATAATTGTGAATTGAATAATTATATATCTATTTTTTAAAATACATTGTTAATAAAATTGAAATACAAGCACAAAAAACAACAAAAAAAGAATGCTCGAGGTTCATTTTGTTCTATATTTTATATACAATTCCATTTTATTTATCTTTTAATTTTTTTCTATTTTCTGCATCAACATGGTACGAGTATCAAAATCAGCCTACGTAACTAATGCTCGAAGGCCAAAGGAAAGGCAATTTGCTCTAAGCATGGCGGCGGCCGACATGAGCAGTGCTGGATAAGGTGGAAACCGCCTGAGATATGTGTGGTGAAGGTCAATACGGACGGCAACCATCTACCAAGTATGGGTATAGCTATTGCTGGTAGTGTTATTTAGGGTCACGTGATGAATATTGAATTTTGCTTCGTTATTGGTGCCAAACTTTGAGGTTTGTTTCAGGGGTTGATACTTGCATGGGAGATTGGGGCCCACAAAGTAGTGGTGGAGCTCGATAACCAGAGCATTATTGCGATGGTCCGTGGAGATGATGAATGCGGTATCCACAGGGGTATTCTACGAGGAATACGGGAGCTGTTACGTCGGCAATGGCATGTAGTTCTACGACATGAATATCACAAAACGAATTTTGTTGCCAATTTTTTAGCCTCCCTTGCGGCGCAGGGGCTTGACGGAATTCAGCATTTGGACGATCCTCTCTCGAGTGCGAAGACTTGGTCTTCTCATGATGTAGTAGAGGTGTCGTATGATCTCGTCGTAATTAGGCTTTGCTTCCTTTTCTTGTACCGAGAAAAAAAAAGAGAGATTTTCATAGAACCTAGAACAGAGAATCATTGGAGATATTGCGTAGAGAAGAGTAGCAATTAGAGCTTAAGGTAACAGGACAACTTATAAAATTTATTTTCGAACATAATTGTCGAAGTATGCTCAATCTTAGTATCATCATGACGGTACCCGTTAAAGAGATCATCGTATACGAAAAAGATTAGAAATATTTTCTTTGGATGGTTTGTCATGCAGAGTGGCATAACATTGAGACAAATGATTAGTTCTCGTCTGCTTGGTGAAAAAATCCAGGCTGGGTTCTCTTCGGTTTTATTGCGTTATGTACAAGTACCATTTATAGTTAGCATTGCGACTTGATCAACTAAAGGCGAACAAGGATAACAGGGCTTTGATGGAGGCTGGCGAGTCTTCACTTAGTCACCAGATTTCCGGTTTCTGTATCTCCAACCATTTTTTTAGGGAAAAAGAGGCTGAAAAACAAAAGAAGAAAAATGTAAGAAATGTATAATAGCACAGAAGAGGATCTTTAGAAAGTTCAACATAGTACCCGAGCTAAAAAGTCTCTTTCTTTCATAAGATCACCTCCCAGTGAAAAAGGCATCATTATATGTAGCAGGCATTCACCAAATCACATGAATAAATGTAAGAAAGAAAATTGCAACTGTAAATCCAAATCAATCACAAAAAACTGATGCTCACAGTTCTAACTTCTAAATAATTTGAGAGGAGCAGGTCCTAGTTCTAATACGCGAGGGAAAAAGTGTATGATTAGGAGTATACACAACATGCGCAGCATTTTGAATATAGACTGCAAATTAAACCAACATTGATACATGTCACATGATAAGCTTAGAATATTTACTTGCCACATGAAACTGTAGTCAACCCAACAAATATATCTTCTGTTGATTGGATTCTTGAAAATTAGGGAAACAAAAATGGTATGGGAAAACAAAGTCATTAGTTCACAAACAAGAGAACTTTGGATGAGGAACACAGAAGGTGCTTTGAAGGACCGTGAAGGGTACAAAGAGAAATGATTTAGGTTTTAAGTTATTCACAATTTACATTCCACAAACAGCTAAGCTCACAGCTCACATAATCCTAAATGAACTGATTAGTATTCAACTACAAATGATTGCATTTTTCATCTTCTACATCAATTTAAATAATAATTGATTAGCATTTCACTTGATTTGTGATGTCAACTAATATCTCACAACACAGTGAACCGTAAGTCCAAGTGCTTTAGGATATGTCATGAAAAAGAAAATGTCATTTATGTGAATTTGGCGGGTCGTATAGGACGTCCCCATGGTTTAAATTTCTAAGACAACAGATAAAAGGTAAAAAGATAAATTCAAGTATTCAACCACGATATAGCAAGAAAGATTACTGAAAGATATGAGGAAAACTAGATTTCCTAGATAAAAGAGTGAAAGCACCGAGTATGGAGCAAATAATTATTACCCTAAAAAAATTGCCGCGAACTATTATGATGATATAGAAGTAATGAGTATAGAAGAGTATTATATTAATCCTGCATACAAGCTAATTGTTTCTCCGCATTTCCTGAAATTGACAAATACATTTCACAAATATCATAAAACTGGTATTTCAAAGGAGATTAGCAAAATTTCTATTCACCCAATGCCATGAGAAGATCTAACACACTTCCAGGACTGGCAAATGATTGGAGGTATCCATTTAACCATGAAATGTAAAAGGGGAGAGCATGAAACAAAACTTGATACCTCAATGCAGCAAAAACTGGACGAATCCTCTCAAAAATTTCATCTTCTGATCCAGTACCGTCAATCTGCAAGGATACAGATTTATAATGAATTGAAAGTAGATGGAAAAATAAATCAACCATATCGATTAGGAAGAAAAAGAAAGAAATATACACACATGAATGTAAAGTAGTTAGTGCCTTCCTTTCATGACCAAAAGTGAAAATTTCAGTTCTTCAATTAGAAACCAAAAACAAGTGTCAGGTTATTGATGTCTTAAATGGGGTACTTATTGTTGGAGTGACACAATTCAACCATACCTTGCAAAGCTTTCCAATCTTGGAGTAGTGCTTGATGACTGGAAGGTTTAGTTCCGCAAAGACCTTCAGCCTTTCCTTGACTGTATCTATATTATCATCAATTCGTCCCTAAGCAAGAAATCAATATTTCTTTAGATTTTGAGACAGAAGAGAAGAACGACTAAGTGCAAGAGATATATATATATATATATATATATATATATATATATATAAAGCACCTGATTACGGTTTAATACTCGTTTCACCATTTCTTCTTCAGGACAATCGAAAAAGAGCACAATGTCTGGTTCAGCACCAATCTGCAGTTATATAGTCTATCACTTAATATTTAAGCAAATTGCATAATGAACATTTTCAATTGATCATATAGCAACCATCCAAACACAGATAACCAGTATGAAAGGAAATGATAGGACAAATTACTAAAAACATATTGTTCTTAAAAGGAATAAGGAAATTGACAAATTCAATGAGAAAGAAAAAAAAAAAGAAAAAGAAAAAAACTCACAACTCGTTCATATGCTATACGATTCTCTTCAGTTCTTGGGAAACCATCAATAAGAAATCTATCATTATCGCTGGCTTCCATGGCCTTTTGAATTAGTTGAACAGTCACTTCTGATGGAACAATTTTCCCTTCTTTGATTGTATTGAAAATCATAGAACTGTCACAGTTTATGATCACCATTCATGCCATAAACATAATAGGGATATCAAACAAAAGGCCCATGTCAGAAGGGATGCATATTCTTACCCATTTTCACTGTTAGAAGAAATTTCTTTTCTCAACAGGTCTCCAGCACTTAAATGGGTAAACCCAAAAGTATCAACAATCTGCATACATTGAGTTCCTTTTCCGCTCCCAGGACCCCCTATAAGCATCAAATCAAAACCAGTCCTCTGTAATTTCATTGGTAAATTAGACTCCTGAATAAGCTAGTTCCATAATCTCGAAGCACCCAATAGATCCAAAGAAATAATAAACACAAACTCCCATTTTCAGTTTTCTACAACTCCACATGGTTCACTTTACGAGGTTAATAACATTAAGATGACAGAGACGGCCACATCTATGCCTTCAAGCGATTATCTAATCCTGTTAACCAATTTCACACCATTTCATGCTTTTCAAATACTTGGCAAAATAAAACATAACAATCCAGATGTCAGCAAATAACACTACAAACACTTCTGCATACAATAATAGCATCTTACGACCTCATTCCTCAACTAGAAGATGCAAGCAGCTTAACTGAACTTAACTGAACTCAACGTTAATTACCCAAGACAAAAGTCACAAATGGGATCCTTCTATCAGAAATTTTGCTTTCCGCCTGGTCCATCAAAGAAAATGCACAACATTAATATATAAATCATCATATTGCAAGAAAGAAAAAATCTGACTTGTTGAATTGAAGTAATGTTTCTTGCGAAAAGGAAAACGAACTAGCAATGATATAAATCATTGCGATTATAATTAGCAATGATGGATATCAAATGCTTTAGAAATTTACTCATGTCCAGAATCAAACGACATAGATAAACCAGACATTTTCAATTTGCATAGACCAAATCCCACGCCACACATTAATATCTAGGCAAAAGATTAACAACTACTAGCAATAACAATACAAGCAAGAAGATCACAATTGAAAGAACTTCAGGTTATCAAGCTAATAGCACATAAACATTTTAACAAATTAATATTAATCTGATTGAGGAAGCCATAAGGAAATAACAAAGAAAAAGCGATTATGAGTTCATTTCCTCCAAAATTTGAAAGCAACAGAAATCAATGCGGAGAAGGCAACACTCTTTTCATGTAATGATCATGACAACTGCCGCGAAAGAACTAAGATAGACTAAGAATCCTACCATAATTTACTATGGTTCCAATTAAAAGAAAAAGGAATGAAAAGAACACATTGACTCGATACCTGATCCAGAACTTGAGTGCTGAACATTTGCAAAGCGTTAAATCCACAGGCTGTCTGATGAGAGAAGAACACTCGATTCGTCCGTCAAAAATCTCATCGGAAGTATGAAAGTAAGCCGGAAAATCAAAACCAGTAACATACTCGATTAAGGTGGTGTGATTTGGACGACGCAACCAGCGAAGACAGAGAACCCACGCGCCGCCACATCTGTTTGATCCTTTCGCGAAAACACAACAACAAAGCTCAGAATGAGAACGAACCTAGCGAGCGAACGAGAGAGAGAGATTATAGAGTATGAAGAATTGGTTCAGCATTTCATGAAGACCTTGTGTCGAACAGGTTGCGAGCCATGTGGAGCTGTCAGTCAGTATGGTTGGAAAATGCAATTTTCCTCTTATTTAAACTAGTATGAATCCCTATGATGCACGGGTAAAAGATATTCATTATTATTTATAAATTAAATAATTATATTGGTAAAATTTTATCATATATTTAAAAAGCTACGTGAATAATAAGCGTAATTATAAAACTTATTTTTGTTTATTAATTAAAATGAAATTATTTTTTATAAACTATCCAAATCAAAAAATTTAAGTAGTTGAATAACAAATTAATTATAAATAATTGAATATTCCATTAACGTCCAAGTTAATAAAAGTTAATAATGACCCCGTAAAGTATGAATAATTACTTATTTAACATTTAAATTTGAAACCAAAATTTAGATTACAAAATAAATTCTCTTATATATTATGACCCGTAAAGTATGAATAATTACTTATTTAACATTTAAATTTGAAACCAAAATTTAGATTACAAAATAAATTCTCTTATATATTTCAATACATATATATTATCTCGCAATTTTCTAAATTTGTTTTCGGCTACCTTATCAATCAAATTTATCAACTAAATCTCTAGAAATAAAATACAAATTTTAAATTTTATTAACTAATATTTGTTCTAAGATCTTTCTGATTTTCAAGACGCATGCATACCAATTTGCCAAAAATTGTCATCAATATCTTATGGCAAGTAATTATGAGAATATGTTAAAATTTGAGAATCATAGCACCTTGATTTTATTACAAATCAACCTAATATTCGACTTTCATATCCATATCAAATAAAGATCATGTCACTTATTTTGTTTTCACAATTTCTAAATACATTTCTATCCATACCAAATAAAATTCACATCATTTGAATTCTGGCATTCAGTACCAAAATAAAATCGTCCACTTTATACCATCCATAAATCCATCCATAAATCCAGACATTTATTAATAACAACACATTCCCCACCAAAAATAAGAATGCCCATTAGATACCTCAAATAAAATCACTCACTTTATACCAATTCCATAAATTGATTAATTAATTTCTAGAGGCGTGATTTTTTAAAATTTCAAAAAAAAAAATACCAAAATCATTAATTTTAAAATTTTTAAGCCGGATTTTAGCTTCTATTTCAAGTAAATACAGACCTTTATGTATATATATATATATATATATAGTTACACCATCTTTCCGCAAAAGTTGTATCAAATTTTGTTAAAATTTATATTACATATAATTTTTAATTAAATATCTTAGTATTGCAATAAAAAAACATACAAAGCTGAAAAATCATATATTATTGAACGCTTTATTATACGGAACATTTTTTGTTTGATGTTGTGGCAAGTCATCTTTCACACAAATTAAACTTTTCAAACTCTTCCGGTTAGTGAAAATTGTTTAAAATTCAGATCATTTATATTTTCAATGACAAGGATGTCACATTATATATTCATATGACTAATCTCTCATGGCTCTAATAGTATATTTCTACTTATGAAATATTTTCATTGCTACTAATAATGAAAGGAAATGAAGAACAATATAATAAAAGTTAAATAAATATTATAAATTTTGTGAACGCTTAATTATCTTCTTCAAATCAAATTAAAGACATTACATAAGCAAAAAGGGGAAAATAGAGAAAGAAATGAAGATGAAAAATTCAAAGAATCTATACACCTAATTCATGCCACACAGACATATTTTAGAAACATAATTCTACATATTTAATTTGTGCTACTATATTCTACTAAAAAATAAAGATTCAATAATTTGGAATTAAACATAAGACATGTAGACATTACAAAAGAAACAACTACCAAAGAGTGGGATAATTTTGCAAATAGAATAGAAAAAACATACACACAAACAAATAAGAAAACATAAGCACTTAGACAGGAGAATGGGAGCACGATTAAGCGATTCTAGTGCTTTCCTGCCAAAGAGTGGGGTGTACTTAAATCATTATCTCAAGCTAGCTAGCAATGTGAGGATATATTTAACGGCTAATCAAGTGACTATGATGGTATGTATATGTCAATACGAAAGATGGACCCTCCACACATTTAAAATTAATAAAACAAAAATGAAAGCATTATATAGTAAGTGCAGTGATTAAAATAGCGTGTGGCGAGCCGAAGCGACGAGGCTCTAATTTGCCATGGCGTAGGTGCGGCGAGGCGCCCGCCTTATGAAAGCGAGGCGAGCCATTATACAAAAAATAGAAATATATGTACATGTGACAGTTTACCAAATTATGACACAATTATGTATATAAAAATAAATTATAGTAGCTAATAAACATGCAACAAAACACCACACATTAAAATAAAAACAATATTTAACAAACTAGAAATAGAAATAGCATCAACCCACATAATTCCCAATTAACTAAACTTCAACCCACTCCATAATCCCACATTATGCCAAATTCGCAAATAAAATAATAATAATATAATGTCTATTATTCATTAAAAAACAAGTTAATGCTCCACATTTATATACATATAATAAGAATTACCATTTACAAAAAATAGTAGCAAAAAAATTGGTCAGAATTTAATGCAGCCTATAAATAGTAAGTTTTATTATTTTTTTTTTAAAAAAAATCATAAAACATTAAATACTACCTTAAATTTCGAGCTTTAGTTCATTTTATTATTTAAAAAAATCCGACTGATTTATTAAGTGTGTATGTTTTTATTTTTATTATTTTCTTAAAAACAATGAACAACATTAAAATCTCGGACTCTATATTTATAAAATCTCAATTCAAAATATAACAAATGTTTTAGAATCTCGGTCTTTATATTTGCGCTTTTAGAAAAAATATTGAATGCTAAAATTATTCTTTAAATTGCATAATCAATCAATTAATCTTAATTTTTTTAAAAATTACTATGTTTATTTTTTAATAATATGCATAAAGTAAAAATAATTAATTCATCTTTAGATATATATTTCATAATCTAAATATACTATCATTTAGTGTAGACATTTATCATATGAATCATAAAATATTTTTATTTCATAAAATTAAATATATTTAAAGAAAATAAGAAAATTTCTTCGGATCAATCGGGTGATTGAATTGGGATACTGCAAAGGTTGACTGAATTGCTTTTAGGCGATATTTAAAACGGTCAAAAAACTTGACACAACTTGGTTGGTCCCATGTGACTAAGTTATGTATCAGTTTGATCACACCAAATCGATTATTGAACCTAAATATAAATTTTATATTGAAAATATTTTATTACGTAAATGTGATGTGGTCCAAACTTCAAATAATCATATTAACAATACTTTTACGACAATATGTTTAATGATTTATGAATATTTATATATCATTTTATTCATATTATGTGAATTAAATAATCTATATATATAATTGCTAGCTAAGCAAATAAATTTTACCTAATAAATAAAACCTAATAAATTTTACCTATGTGGCAAATCATTAATAAAACCTAATAAATAGAACCTAATAAATTTTATTTATGTGGCATTAGTACACCCAATCTCATTAATAAGAAAATATTTCATTACATTTTTTGGGTTAATTAAGACAAAAACCATTATATTTTATGTTAATTGATTAATAATTATATTTTTTATTGAATAATATAATAGTTAATATTAAAATTAGTAATTATATTTTATACTAAATAATATATGAAAGTTACATAAAATTATATTTTACACTAAAATCAATATTTTTTTATATGATGAAGATGTTGTTTATTAATAAATTATTTTTTTTATGTCATAGTAAAATTTCTTAAAATCACATAAGCAATTGTAATAATAATGTAATATTTTTCAGCTAATTAATTGGTCATGATCACTCAAAATTGTAAAAAATATATATTTATTGCATTTTATGCAATCAATATAGTGATTCGTATACAATCAAATCGTGTGTACTATTTATTTTAACCAATGATCAAATTTTAAAATATAATACTATTATATAATTTATAATTTTAATATTATATACATAAATATAAGTTATAATACTAAATGTTTGAAATACAATACAATTATATAACTTATAATTTTTATATTATATACATAAATATAACTTATAATATTTAATTTTATTTATATTTGTGCAAATGCACAAGGTCGAATACTAGTATTTTATTATAATCAAGCTATTTTATTAAATCATTTGTGGTTTGTTCAGATTTTAATTTATAAACATTTTAATATATACATTTTAATATATATATATATAGTACTTTTTGTAATAAATTTAAATAAAATGTGTTATTTAGATATTTAAACAATTTATAAATTTCAAATGTTCAACCTAATTGATAAATAATTTATAAATCTCTATTTTGTTTAAATATGTAATTTTATTGAAAATAATTTTAAATATCACAAAATTTATTTAGAAAATCGTATCGATCCTACCAGTCCAACCGACTGGTGTTGACGGATTCGAGAGCAAATATTTTATTCAAGCGAACTATATTGGTTATAAACCGGTTCTCGGTCCATCCAGTCGGACTGTGTCCAACCTGGCTTAATTTAAGAACAATGGATAAGTCATGATTAATGTTATTTATATATTTAATTTTTAATATAATCGTAATATTGTTTTCCCGTGCATCCCGCGGGCCACGCACTAGTTCATAAATAAACAAAATAAATAATAAGATAGAAAAAAAATGTTAACCCCAGCCCCCCCTTGTTCGCTTTTCATCCCGGCCGNCATGTTTATCCCAACCCCCCTTGTTCGCTTTTCATCCCGGCCGGCTAGCTGCTGTCAGCACCGCCGGCCGCCCGCGACGGAAGTTTAGCAGCCGGAGACTTACACAACATGCACTATTGCCGTGCTGGTGAAGAATGACTGAATCAAGAAAGGAAAAAGAAAAAGAAGAAGAAAAGGAAAAACTGGAACATATACCGCTCGCCGTCGCCGTTTAGCTGCCGGAATCTGGTCGACGTCGTCGGTGGAACAAAAGGCACATGGTAATTTTGTAATTTGGTAAGTAATTTTTGTTAATTGATAAGTTTTAATCTCCCGTCAATGAAACCCTAGGTATAAAATACCTAAACTGCAGTCTCGCCTCACTTTCATAAGGTGTCGCCTCGCGCTAAGCTACGCTACATCCGAGGCAACGCCATGGCGTCGCCTTTCACAAGGCCTCCCCATGGCGCGCTATTTTAATCATTGAATAAGTGGATCCTTAATGATCAGTAAATGGCATGAGTTGCCCTAATTATAGTTCTCCTATAAACGTTAAAAAAGTTTCTTAATTAGCTCTCTAGCAACCTCCACCACACCTAAAAAAAGTTATGTTTTCTAGTTTGAACGGTTGCTTTCGTCGGATGCAGAATTTAATCTGATAAGTTGAATTATACCTATCCATAATATGTCCATGCAGTCATCATTGTTTCATGAATTGCTATAAGTACATGCTTTTTCAACTTATTGAATCTTATTAGATGTGATAACCATCAACATGGATAGTTAATATCATTATCGGTGGTTCTGGCTTGCCCTCATACATGATTTAGATGTCAAATAAGACACTGAACTCTACTTGAGATAAACAAATGAACAAAGATACTTGAGATAAACAAATGAGTGTAGCATCAGAATATCATTATTAAATTAGTCATAAACCAAGACAAGTCAACGGGTCATCATGAATTAACAAAATCACATTAAAATAATCCAAATCATAATATCAAAGTAATCACATTTTCATTTTGATATGTTCCAGAAGCTACTTAACTCCTATTGCAGAAGAGTTTCAAATTTGATTCTATTACATCATTGCAGAGCTTATGACTTGTTTTTCAACAATGGACATGCCAAAACAAAAGGGCACAAGACTAATCTCAAACACCAACTACCAAATCAACAATAATGGAAAGACATAGAACACCAAATACCTAATACCAGGTAAAGATATTTACACAAACCAGCAGACGCACTCGCACACACGCACACATATACATATATAATAATGAGTGGTAGCTCAATATAACCATATTATATACTATAGGCTGGAGGAAGAACTGAGATATGAAGGACTAACATTTGCAGTAAGAGGAGCAGGACATGAGGTTCTTCTGTTTGAGCCAAGGACTAACATTTTTCTCAGCTCATTTATTCTAACAACATTGCCTCCACTAAATTCAATTCATCCAAGTGAAAATAGAAAAAAGATAGATGAAAAACAGGATTACACTAAAAAAGACGGAGACATCACTGACCTGTTGTCGACCTTTCAAGAATCAACTTTCAAACTTTAGCGAAACACTTCAAAAAGGCAAA